AAAGGAAACCACCCATTTGTTGGGGTCGAACATCAACCCACTAATGATCATAACATTGCGGCTGTATGTTTCGCATAAGTCCGCAGATATTGACCACATGGCATTGAGTATACTCACCAAGCATGAGATCGGATGACTCGCGAGCGCGCGTGAACGGGAGCCGACAAGATGTTGACGGGAGACGGTTTTAGGTGTTCATCGTTTCTATGACGAAGAGCCTCTCCCAGGAACCCTTCGTACCCAAAATTTCCGGATTCAATTTTCATTCACCAGACACCGCAACTTGGCTACGGAGCAGCTGCTTGGACCTTTTGGTGATGGTCGAAACCCAAAAGCCTCATTCGGTCCAGCTTTTGCCTTTGTTTGTTTGAAGTCGCTTCCAGATCTCATACGGTGACCGACTTATTGGAGTTCGGGTTTACTTTGCAAAATTTGGTGCAGAAATTCGTGCGAGGCGAAGCGGCACGAGATCAAGTCATTGGTTGATGAAGGCGCCCAAAACGAGTCCTGTTCGTTGCCCATTGCCCGGTTGAACTGTTCCTGGTTTCTATGTCTTTCATCTCCTCTCAGAAATGCAAAAATGGCGTGTGAGCCCTTTGTGATTTACAGACTGTGAAACGAGTCGAGCCGAGTCCAAAATAAGATCAGCCCAATTTGGTCACTGCAGTAAACATATAACTAGTGGTTAATTTAGTTGGACTGAACCCAAAGCTGGAAAGCACTTTGGACAAGTGAGACATTGCCCCCTCATCGTTTGGTATGTGTGCAACATACTGGCATGTTTGTTGCAGCCTCCACAACATAAACAAGTGCCCCTTTTAAAAGCACAAACGAAGCAGCAACATGTAAAGAGCCAGCATTACACAGTTTCTGAGCCGTCCTGCCCCTTCGTGGGAACAAAAAGGACCTCGGTTCTCCATCTGAGAGGTCATAGGTCCAAATGCTGAGCACCGTTGATGCCCAGCTTCTTTGGGAACCTTGTGAGGTACCGAGGATGCCTTTTGGGCACCGTCCATGTTCAGTTTGGCTGCTCGACTCTTTGGCACGCACGCCCTGCCGTCTGGGATGTGTATCCCATCCTTTTCGTGCATTTCAGATTCGTTTGTTTCCCCAAATCAAGGCTTCAGGAAACTCAATCAAACTTCTGCGTGATGAAACTCTACAACGAGCTATGACCGCTGAATCTTGGCGGTTCCCATCCGTCCCCTTAGGTTTAAGTTGTAGCTGGTTTAGTGGCCACAAGTTCTTCACTTTTCGATCAGAAAAACGGACCCAGCCCAGTTGAGCCCCGCACGTGTCGGGCTTCTGTAGCCGGCTGGTTTCCGCCAACTGACGGACCCGGTGGTTTCCCTCTGAGAACGAGTCCAGTGGACAAGCATGGTTGTTGTTGGGAGACATTTTTACATTTTTGCTTGTGGTTTAGTGGTTGAAATCTCACTGAACTGCTCAATTTTCAATTTGTTGCTCCCCTTCCAACAAGTCAACCAAGACTTGCTCGGTCTGAGGGGATCCGACCTGGGCAGATTCAAATTGGTTTGGCGTCGGGCATCTGGGTGGTTTGGACTGAGCTGACGGAAACCAAATGCTCCGACACTTTAAAACGCCGCGAGGCAACGCCCGGCAGTTCTGGGAGTCCTTGAAGGCGGCGGCCTTGCGCTGCCCTGAGGAATTCGGCTTCGGCTGAAAAGGGGCTCCGGGGCGCCCGAAGAGACCAAGGTTTGAAGGGGGGCTCGAGCCCCTCAAGCCGAACCAAGGTCCATTCCCTTTTTGGACCTCCACTTTTTATCAAACCTCCCCACTTTTGGACCTCCAAAAAGGTCCATTCCCCCATTCTTTCTGATTCTTTCCCTTTTTTGGAGCTCCAAAAGTGGGGGAGTTTTGCTGGGAGCCCGGGAACTGGATCAACTGTTGAAGTGGGGACATCCAGTGACCCCTGTGAAAAGCCCAAGCCGGAACGGGCTTGCCCTGAATAAGTCCAACCAAATACGGGGGAGGGGGGGGTCCGTAAAAAGCACATTTGAAGCCACTCTCATGCGGTTTAATTCGAGGGGAAGGGCCAGTGCCCTGGACAACGTTGCCTCGTGACTCCCGTGTTTGTTGAACGTAAGATTGGGTTCCATTCTGAGGAGGTCCTCACTTAACGAAGGGACCCGTAACTCAGAATGTCTGACTTATGCCTGGAGTGTCCATTTGACTCGTTGAACATGGGGGCTGAGACGAAATCTTGCTGTATGAACATATATGTATAAATATATATATATAGAGTATATGTATGGATCTCAGTCCAAAGCGAATCGACCTTTTGACCTTCTAGTTTCCCCTTTTGGTCCGTTGAGCCATCTCAATAGTCTGACTCGTTTCCTGCCTCCCCTTCCCCCCCCCCCCCGCAGTCCGGTTTCCGTTCCTAAATATGGGGATGATTTTGCGGGGCAGAGGTTGGTGGAGCGGGACTTGGAGCTGATCAGTGGTTTTGTCGCACAACTGGCCCCGAGAAGCGCTCGGGCTTTCTCGTGGTTTGAAGTACCGGGAGGGTTCCCAAGACGGAGCCCAAAGGACAAACCCCCCCGAGGCAAAACTATGAGAGCACCGAAGCGGCTTTCCTGGCCTTCGCGAGCCCGGCAGTGCCTCGGGTGAGCACTACGCCGATGGGCGTGTGTTGGGCTGGCGTGCTGGGGTTGGGCTTGGGCTGCCACTGGGGATATCCTTGGAATCCTTGGAATCCATGTGTGTTTATGGGATAATTCTCCATAGATCCCGCATCCCAGTTGAAGTGATAAAGTAGGCGGATCACGGATCAACTGCGTTGGTGTCCAGAAAGGGGCCCATTTAGCCGAACTATGGGCGTGTTCCAGTTTCCCGGTAGGAACATGGCCATGACCGACCAATCATCGATTTAGTGAGGCACCTCCATGGAGTAAGATGATATTGTTGTCCTGATTCGGCATATTTGCCAACGATGTTTTGCAAGTTTCTGAATAGAGTTTGGATCAAGAGACGCTGACGCTAAGAACTGAACCCATCAGCCTCTTGCAATGGGTGTTCGCTGCAGACAGACCTGTTAGAGGAATGAGGCTGCGGGAGGTGTTTGCGTCAATGGGGCCATGAACTCGTGTACAATTTTTTACAAACTTTTAGGCCATTTGTTTGTACAATTTATAAACTCACCAGAAAGCAAAAGAAACTTACAACTAAAGCAAGTTCATGACTTGTCAATTGCGACTAGGTCTCTCCATCAGTGACAATGCGCCTGCCCCCTCTCTAACCAGACGAAACATCACGTCCAGGAAAAGCGTTCGGCTCACCGTTCGCCCTTCCGCCCCGATTCCATCAATGTTGGAGTCTTACGGAGCGAACTCCCTTCTCGTTGCCAAGCCCTTTGGGCGTGGTGTTTTGGTTGGGTTGTTTTGAAGGGATGCCAAAGCGAACCCACTCTGTATAGGGCTTCCACCCAATTTTGCCACAAAACCATGTGGATGTTTCTCAAAATCAGAGACCCCTGAGGGTGGCTGCTCTATACGATTTACTTTTGGCTTTCCTTTAAAATCTTCAAACCCCTTTCGGAATCTGTTGGGGAGGTTCTCAAATGCGAACCCCTTTGATCGGTGGTCCGGGAAACAAATTCAAGCCGTCTATGTTAGGGCACCCCGATTTACAGGAAGCCCCCATTTGGGTGGGCCTTCTGTTGCCGGGGGGCCCAAAATCGCAGGTGCGCTGTTGGTTCCCTTTTCAAGCCACCCCAACAGAGGGAACCCTTAAAGCAAAAATCGAGCAACACGGATGCTTCACCCACCTGACCCTAGGCTTGCATTCTCGTTTTTTTCTTCTTTCTTTTCCCCCGGGGCCTAGCATTTTTTGTTTTATGGTTTTTTTTCGGTACCGAAAGAAAAGCGACGGATCCCGTGGCCCGAGGACTGCATGATGTCCTTGGAGCAGTTCCAGGAGACGCCGACTCCCGGTGCTTGGGTAAGAGAATCCCTCGTCCTTGAGCCACCGAATCATCTGGTTTCCTTTTTGTTTAATTAAGTTAAATGAGGCTAACATATATAAAGGGATCCAGAAAGGAACATGTTGGTTGAATCATTGAAGGCACCTCGTCCTCAAGCAGCTGCCAGTTTTGGGTTTTTGTTCTGGTGCTAAAGTAAAGGATCCGTGAAGAATGGTTGGTTGAAGCATTGAAGGGACAGGTTAAACGTAGAGGAGGCAATTCTAGCTCGTGGTTTCTCAGTCCCCTTGCTTGCGGACGTAAAGGGAAGTCAACTGCCCAAAAAGGATGCCTGGGGGCCCTTTTTGCCCATGGGAATCTACTGGCAGTTTGGGCTTTGAGCTCTTCAAAGGGTAACCAAAAGGGCATGCGTTATTCGTTGATTTTTCTAGACCCCTATTTGACACTGCCTTTCTGAAATTCAAGAGGATGGCCGAAGTAGAAAACAACTTCTATTGGGGGTTTATGCTCTTGAACAGCACCTTGCTTGGCGCGAGTGCGCTGGTGTCTGTATTTGTTTCCGTCATGCATTTTCTCTCTTCCTGAGTTCCTGCACTTTAAGCTTTTGGGAAGACCATGTTAGTGGCAAACAAAGAGTTTGGACTTTTTCTGACCAATCCACTCTGTAAGTGAGCCCCGGCTTCCTTTAAATGAATCATGGCTTCAACGAGTGAAAAGTGATTTCTGTACAAGGGGCTTCACATTGCAGCTGCATGTGATTGACTGGGTGGCTTGATTGGCAAGCCGATTGTTTGCACAACTGTGCGGTGCGTGTTTTGATGCTTTGTTGCCATTGGTCGCGTGGTGTCTCATCCTTCTTCATGGGCTCAAGGCAAGAGGGATCAGAAGCAAGGCTTTAGCAGGAGCAAGAGACACATTGCAAGTAACAACACAAACACAAGTGACCAAGTTGGACACCGGGCAGCTCGCTGCCTGGAATGATGTCCTAGCAAAATGAGCTAGCCGCGAGAGCAAGGGTCAAGAAGCAGTTGCGCGCCTGCGGCCTTCGGCTGGAGCCATGACTTCCGGATGGCTGGTGCGCTGCTTGGCCTTGCTGTTGGCCTGGCGGATGCGTGCTGCGTGCTGGGCCTTCGTGGCCGTGACTCAGCCCCAGCGTCCGGTGGGGCGCACGGCGCGGAGGGTGCGCGAGCGCCGCCAGCCAAGACCCCGAGCCCGGATGGAGCAGAGGAGCACGGAGGGAGAAGGTTGCACGCCAGCCAGAGTCATCACACGCCGCATTACGCAGGCTGTCTCTGCGTCCCAGGTCTTGGACATCATGCAGGCGGAGCAAGAGAATCCAAACATGGATCTAATTGCAGTTGCCACAGCATGGACCAGGCTCGCGCAACTTCAGCGCAGCATCAATGCTGAGACGACAAACTCCCCAGCATTCCTGATGCTTGTTTGTCTGACAGGCTCGCTGCTGGAAAGGCCAGCTGGGCTTGCGCGCGCAGTCGCAAACATATTCTGGGCAGCAGCAAGGCTTCATGGCAGCATGTCTCCGCAGCTTGCAGCATTGTGGCCAAGTTTGGCACGCGCAATCAGGACCACCGTGAACGACCTGAATGCCCAAGGAGTAGCCAATGTCATTTGGGCGGTGGCGAAGCTTGCCAATGCTGGCATTGAAGTTGTATTGGGCTTGCTTCCAGTCTTGGCAGCTCGGGTGCCCGCGGTGATATCAGAGATGATAGAACAGCACGTGTCCAACGTCATATGGGCTACTGGACAATTGTCAGTTGAACCCTTCCGTTCTGGTGTGGCACGCAGCCTGCGCGAAGCACTTCCCGACTTGGTGGCTCGAGCTGGTGTCTTGTTACCCACGGCAAAGCCACAAGCGATTGGGAACATTTGCTGGGGCATGGCGCTTTGTGGCTACTATGATGATGTGCTGTTTGGAGCCGTTGCGGCGAGGGTGACAAATGAAGCAGCAGGGTGGAGTCATGCAGATGTTGAGCTGAACTTGTCATGGGTTCTTTGCGCGCTTGCAAGACTGAAAGCTACAGGACATCAAGATTTGATGGACACGGCTGCCAAGATCTTGCCCCCTATGTTGTCTAAAATTAGCGACTGGAGCCTGTGCGCCTTGAGCTGGTCATTCCAACAGCTGGACAGTGGCAACTTTGACACCTTCCGGCAGAGTCTGGAGGCAGAAGTGACATCCCGTGGTATTCCAGAAGACGATGTCGAGCGCAGCCGCTTCGGGCCTGAGACCTGGAAGCAAGCCAACCAAAGGCACAAATGATGCTTCACTGGCACTGATGATTTCGGTTACTCATTTGTCACACAAAAGAGTTGGGTAAATTGTTCATCAACGCCTTAGTCATTTGGTTTGGTCAGATCCGTTCAGGGTGCCGCAGAGACCCACCTTGCCCGAGAACATGTTTGGGAGTGGCGCACCCGGCCCTGCCGAGTGCAGGGGTGGCACACATCCCTGGCACCCGGGGCTGCTGAGTTGACCCTTCCAAACCTTGGCATGGCCAATGTCGGCGCAGTGCAATAAGCAGACACAGGTGACACGTTGAAAGAACGCGTGTGCTCCAAAACAGGCTGTTGCCCAAGGCTTCTTTTGCCGAGCGTGCAAACCCACCCGCGTTTCAAGAAGATGTGTATCCAGCAGATGTGGCTGGAAGCCCGATAAAGCTTGATCTTGTGTCTTGAATTCACCGCCATGTAGCACTGGTGGTGATGGATGCACTGTTGCCTTGAACTTGATGCAGTGTCTGATTGCATGGACATGAACATCTATGAACCCATATGCCATGCTGTGTTCTTTTGGGTGGTTTACCGCAGAAAAATGGAGCCATGACCTTTTATGTTTGGATGAATACATTCGCGTCATTGCGAGGACGCAGCAACATCCCCAAGGCCCAGAAAGACTTCCGCTGGCTGGCAAGCATCTTAAAGTCCTGCTCGGTCAACTGCATTCTCTGCAGAAAGGCAATTTGAATCAGGCAAGGTCCTTTCACCAACCACTTCATGTCATGATGCCCCGCTTGCCCATCAAAGACAAAGCCTGTAACAACTTAACCCCTTCATGGCTCGTGCTTAATGGAAACACTTCCTACAAACAGTGTGGCCTTAAAAGCTGTGTTGGGCCTGCTGCCTTGTTGACTAGCTAGCAAGGTTTCAGCCTTGACGAGCAAGCTGTTACTACCGCAATTTGATCCACTGGGCAGCTTTCAGACGATCCGGCTCATACACTGCTTGCATGACAAACAGAAAAGCAGAGCGCATAGTGTCCTTTTTGGTTGTTTTGGTGGAAAAATTGATGGCCCTGGTTTACCTGGTGGTTTAGTCATCTACCAGGGCCGTCTATTTGCCCTAAAAGGGCACCTATGGCAGAGCGGCGGTTTCCTGAACCTTTTGGTGGCAAAGGTCCGGCTCGCAGCCTCCGATTCGCCTCTTTCATCTTTCGGGCGAGGAGCTGAGCGACTCCCTGGGCTTCATGCTGTCCTTCCACAGCGCTAAGAGCCTCAGCGAGTTGGATGGCTCTGACTCGGACCCCTTTGCCAGATGGAAGGCTTCCAGCCCCCCCAACAACTGCTTTTGGGACAGTACTTTGGGTTGTGGACGTGGTCGAAAAAGCAGTCGTTGGGGGCCGTAGGGGATGCGGTCTTTTCTTTCGGGGATGAAGTTTGGATGCTTGGGCCGGACAAACTGATACAGGCAGTCTGGAAGACATGAATTGACTGCCGGAGGATGGCGCCCAGAAGTTTACTTCAGGCGTGTTTGAAGAAATGCGTTGAAGTCTCGGCGACTCGGTGCTGTTTGCGCTTCAATCGGATGAACCTTCCTGGTGCAAAGTGATTTTGAGTTGCTGGATATCGCATGTTCAGAAGTTGTTTGCTCGGTCGGTGCTCTCAGCTTGAGGTTCTATTTGTTGGCTTAATTGTGCACAACCCTCGTGAGGCAGGCGTCGAATCGGTCTGGGTCCCCATCCAAAAGTACTCGGGCTCGCTTCACCATTTTGGTTTCTTGGCCAATGCGACGCAGAGCTCATTAAGAATTCTGGGTCCCATCTGGACATTGTCAGGTCTCAAAATGAGAACCCAGGTGTGATTGTTTGTAAAGCCACTTGCGGGTTCGGATGTCTTTTTGACCCAAAGGTTTCCAAGCACTCACGGTTTGGCATGCCAAATAGACCCTGATTTTTCACTCACCCAAAAGGAAGCCAACACCATTAGCTTCCCGTTTCCGGGGGTACGTGGGGGTAACTGGATGGCCATTTGGGGATCTGGGTGCTATAGCCCGTGTTCAATTCACTGTATTGGCCCAAAGAGAAGCCAATTTTCAGGACATGAGCAGTTTTTGATCCTTTTCCAGATGATTTACCCAAAAACGGAAGCCAAACCGTTTTAAGGTCGCATTTTTTTTTCAGAACCCCCCTTAAAACACGGATGGCCATCTTCGAGCTGTATGACCCTTCCGGTTTCGCGCTCAGGAACCTCTTCGAGCAGAAGCTCAAGGACTTTGAGATGCGCGCCTTGACGCTGCAGGACTTCCAGGAGCCTTCGGCGCTTCGAAGCTTCGGTGGAGCGAGCCGTTTGGGCGCGGCGCGGCGTCCTTTGGGTCGTTGGTGTAGCCCTGTTTGGGTGGTGTTAAAGGCAAGCCGAAAGGAGAATCCACCCGTTTTGTTTCTTTTTTTGGGGGGGGTCTCTTCTGGGACATACCCATCCAAGGTGCTGATGAAGGAATCCCCTTTGTTCAGTACCCTTTTTTCCCTTTTGGGCTGGGCTTCCCGCTCAACACCAACCCCAAAAATGCCAGAGGACGCCTGCATTGTGGCTCAGCTGGACAGAATGCGGGCGCGAATGAAGGCGCACAGGCGCGGGTCGTCGCTGGTTTTCCCGCCCATCGCGGGGTTTTGGGCGCTCAATGCAATTGCAACCCAGCTCCAACCTACCTTTTGATGCTAGTCCGTCGCGTTGGCCTTTTTTTTCTGATATGATGAGCCAATTCCCAATCTTGGTTTTGCCTGCTTGCCATTGGGCAAGCACACGTCAGGGCAGCAGCGGCAAAGTCCCCGACAAAGTGTTGATCCCCTAGCGGACACCACCGGGCGATGGATAACTGGCCATGGTTTCCGGGCGCCCATGTCAAGCAGGTAGAGGTTCAGAGGTTCTAGGCATCACCAAGGATCAAACCTGCTTTGCGGAGTCCCAAGTGCCTGTTCTTGCCTGGGTCAGGTCATGGTTAGTTGATGTGGTTCCAGGGATTCATGGACAGGCTACTTTTCGGGCCCATGTGATTTTCATCACCTTTCCGCTGCGGTCTTTAATCCCTGAGCCCCGTAGATCCTTCAAAGCCAACTGGGCTTTCTCTCGCAGCTGCAAAAGGTTGTCGATGTTCGCTCGTCAGTTTCCTTTTGGTGTGAAAAACAAGAAGGGCACGTAGCGACTGACGGTAGGTCCAGTTGCTCACCACCGTCGAAAGCATTTTTTTGGACCCGGGAAGAGAATTTGTTTCACGTGTTTGTGTCTGAGCTTGTGCTCGCGGACAGGCAGAATTTGGTTGGCTGTGCCTTCCACATCGACAACTTCATCAGGCCACGTGTTTTTCTCTTGCTGTCAGGTTCCGATGAAACTGATGAAGCTGCCAGTTTGTAATGTTGGCAGTTTTGGCAACATTGACTCTCAGGTTTGAATCAACTGCCAGTGGTGAACGTTGGATCTCAGATTTGGGCGACATTCTATCACAGTCTTTCAGTTGTCCTGTGCGGAAATTTCGAAATGTCCCTCCAACGATTCATGGATGCATTAGTTGGCAGTTGGCGTTCCAAATGAGAGTAGGCACGAGGAGTGCGAGACATTGCGAGACCAGCCAAAAATAAAAATAAACTCATCCACGCGTTTTTGCGGGAATCACTGGTGAGCTTGGTGGGGCGCCAGCATAAAACTGTTTTAAGTGCGAAAGTCCAAGTTGATGCTGGGCTGCAGTGGCCGCTCGGAGAGTTAGTGAACGGGGGTCCACTTTCTGGGGCAAAGACTCTGACAGCACCGGCCAACTCAAGTCACAAACCGGCTGAAGGCAGGACAAGGCCCCAAGCTTATTTGAATATCTCTGCGATTTGGGTGTTGTCCAACATAGTTGGAGACTCCGGTTGGATGTTGTTGACAGGAAACAGGCAAAGGGAAGGCTAGTTCTGGACAAACAGACTACCTCGTCAGAAGACTGTCGTCCCCAAGCGTGTAGGCAATTTCTCTTGGCACACTCTCCAAACTTCTTCCAAAACAAGTGGGGACAAAACTCACCAAAACACCACTAGGAAACAGGGGTTGCTCAGCAAATCCTCAGGCAATTGGGACACAATGAATCTGAAGCACCCTCGGGGTCTGTCAAAAAAGCGTAGTCGCGAATGTGTGTGGGTGTGTGGGTGTGTGTGGGTGTTTTTTGCGGGTACCCATTTTAGGTTGGCTTAAATGGAAGCCAAAGGGAACCACACCATTGCTAGGGTCTTCGTCTTTTGACACGCGCCCAAATGAAATGGGAACCCCCCAAATGCTGATTTTCCATGGGTTTTTTTTGGCAGTCCTTTGAACCAACCTCAAAAAGAGCACGCAGTCCTTTGAACGAACCTCAAAACGAACACCCTCAAAGCCAACACGCGCCTTGGTCTGACCATTTGGGGTGCCCAGTTGAGCCGTGGCGAGGCATCTGGCGCTGGGCCGGGAAGAGTTGCGGCGGCGCGCGGTGAGCCGGTTCCAGCTGAAGCTCACCACCAGCTTCTGCGCCGCTTGGACCGTTGACGGTGACAGGGGAATCCAGAACTCAATGGCTGAGTTGCGGGGCTTTAAACTTCTTCTTTTTTTGAGCACTTTCATGGGTTTGGACCCAGTGTGGTGGTAAATCAAAAGTTCAGACCTGCTTTGGTGAGATCTTCAACCTTTTGCCCCAGCTGAAAGCTATGGGGTCGATAGATCTTTCATGCTTGTTGTGTGGCGTGCAATAGTCACATTGCTTTGATATTGTTTTGGGGGTTGGGGGGTGGGGGTTCGTTTATGTTCACCCGAGTGGAATTTGTTGGAGGTGCCCTTTTCGTTCCTCTGTTTGTTTCTTGTTGGAGCGGTTCCAGTTGTACCATGGTTCTTCCTTTTTTGGGGACGGGTTTTCCGGGTTTTGTCGGGAAAGCCAAGTATCAACACAAGTGAATATTTGTCATTTCAGCATTCCCTTTGAAATACGCCCTCCAAGCAAGGGGGCCCTTTTTTCCCATGGCCACTGCCGGCTTGGCAGCAGAAGTTCCTACGAGCCCCAGGAAATAACACGAGCGGTTGGTCTAGGGGATTTCTTCTTTCTGGCCGTGAGCTTTTCGGTAATCCTAGTGAAAAGGGTGTGGTTCCTTGTAGGGGAACCTTGGGGTACAGGGAAGCGAAGTGGAACACAAGAAGCGTTTCTTGGGCTGAAGTAAAGTTGCCTTGAAATGGTGGACTCTCCAACACAATGGATGTTGAACGGTGTTCTTTTGGCTTGCCCAAAAACCCAAAAGGGTACCAGCAACAAAAGCACACCCAAAGAAATTCGGTTGGAACACTTTAGGTTTAAAAAGGCAAAAGAGACGCCCAGAGTCTGCTTAGTTTCGGTTTGGTTTTCCTTTGAAAGGCCAAGCCTCTGTTTGGGGCTGGTGAAAAGAAAGGCAAACCAGCCCCAAACCACCGATGGCCTCCTGTGTGTCTTTTGAGAGATGCGTAAAGGGGGACAACTTCCCCCTCGTCTCCCTCTAAAAGCAGCCTCCAAAAAGGTAAAGCATATCTTCAACAATACATGCCCAAGTGAGGTGTATCCTGTTGAAAACCAGGCTGCCCATTTGTCAGGGCGACAATTCGAGGAGCTCAAATCTGTAAGTGATTCCGTTCGGCTCAAACAACAACAGAGCTCGCATGAGTGCCCAAATCCTCGCAAGCAGATGCCGATTTAGTATATTGACAGCGATCTCACCTCTCACCGATCTGGGCGAACACGTATTTTAAAGCATGGCTGGTCGCCGGTTTAAAAGAGAGTCACCATCACACTGCGTGAGTTTTCGGATTTTGCACTTGCAGGGAACACCATGGTGGCAAAAATAGCAAGTCTTGACTTGCCCATCCACTCAATCGCCATCATCTCCTCAGGCGGATCTCTGGACCTCCCTGCAGCAGTGGGTGGAGCGGAGATCCCAAGACGAGCCCATGATCTGCCGAGTCCTCGGTTCGGTTTGAGTGAGCAAATCGAATCCATCGGTTTTTCTGGGTAATGTGGACCACAAGGGTGAGGTCCAGAAGGTCAAGTCCCGCAATATGGCCAAAATATCACCACCAGGAATCGGACCGCAGGTTTTAGTCTTTGGTTCCATTTACCAAGCCATTTTCGGTACGCATTATTGACCTATAGCAATATGTCAGCCCCCCTTGACTTGCCGGATCCACGCAAGCCGTGCCCTTTGGTTTTGTTTCTCAGATTCTTGGGGCTGGTTTCGTGCGTGGGTTTGAACCCGCAAGGTCAACTGTTAGCCGGGGATCAGAAAGCGGACAGCCGCAGTTGAGTGCCGCGCGTGTCGGGCTTCTCGCATTTGGGGGGCTCAGATTGACTTTAGGGACGCGGTGGTTTCCCTCTAAAAGCAAGGGAAGTTTGAGAGTGTCCATACCCAGGTTTTCTTCGGTCAAGGTTGCAGACAGGCTGACATGTCATCCCCAACAAGTCAATAAAATACCAATTCATGTGTACGCACAATAATAAATATATGTATATACATATTTATAATTTGCTTGCATATGGTATGCGTATCATATCGGTGTCTGTTCTCTTCTTCTGCAAGGATATAAGCTCTCTCATGGATCCAAAGAGCTTAAATCTGATGTCCGGTATGCCTGAGCAAATCAATCAATATAGACATACATATATATATATATATATACATAATTGTAAAATATGTCTGTAGCAGCCGTATTCCTTTACAACCTGCTGGTAAGCTGGTTTTGACACTTTACAAACGAGTGTGCTCCGGATGGTGACCGATGTCGAAGGGGAGACATATATCTGGAAGCACGACGGTGTTTCAATCGTGTTGTTTGGTTTGCTCGTTTTAGTGGCGGCTGGGGGAATGCAACAGATGAAGCTTTTGGCCAGCTCGGAACGATGCTCAACAAGTTGCAGTCTGTTTCGGCTGCGTTCACAGTTCACAGAACCACCCGAGCTTTGTTGAACTAAATTGACTTCCCCAGCTCGTCGGGTTTTGGAGGGAATCAGGGACACAGGACTGTGTAAGTAGGTTGTTTTCCCGCACGGTGTATGTGTGCAAGTAGGGATTAGGCCCCTGAGAACCAAGGATATAAATTACGTAGCTGGCGTGAGTTGAACTCCCAGCTACAAAACACATGATGCTACAAAACCATGGCGCGAGACAGAGCCAAGTTGTGAATTGGTGCGAGGTTGCGAGACCTTCTTGAAGATGGCCGATGCCATTCAAACTTTCCAGGCACGTTCGAGAGTTGAGCCCGTTGGTTGCTTGTCGAGGTTTGTCGGGACTTGAATTCAATTGGCGTAAAGAGATCAAGCATATGGACACCCTTGCCGCTCCAACGTCACGTTGCAACTAGGACTAGGTCCCCCAGTAGTGCCCTTTTACCCTTTTTGGGGGAAGGTTCCCCTACTAGAATAGACTGTAGAAAAAAAATGGTACCCTTATTCTACTGGAGGACAGAGAGAAATTTTGGGGTCTTTTGACAGAAAGAACCTACGAGGCCTACGAGATGGATTTCTTAGCCAACATCTTCGAGCGAGTGGACCGGCTCCGAAAAGGAGAAGTAGCCGGGGGCTGAAGGAGACACGAGACGTTTGCAGGGAGTCCATGCACACATCCCAACTTGCTGACATGCAAACATGCATACATGCACGCATACACACCGGCACAGGCAAACGAGGTACCCTCCCTCCCACTCACATGGCACCTATCGGGAGGTACCTGGTAGATGCGTTTCCTCTTGAAGGGACCCCCTTTTAGGTGCCATGTTAGTGGGAGGCAGGGTACTTTTTTTGGTTGGTGGTGGATTTTCGGTGGGTACTTTTTTTTGGTTGGTGGTGGTTTCTTGCTGGATGTGTGGCTGTTGTGCTGGGTTATGTGTGATTGTAAAACCTTGAACTGGGCCCTGCAACTTTTTTGCTTCCCAGCATGCCAACGGCCCCGCTGAGAATGCTGAAGAACTCTGCATTCAGAACAGTCGCACAGGCTGGCGCAAACAATTGGCTGTGGGTCAAAAAATATATACCCAAAATGGAACCCTGGTAAATGGAGGCTTGGACTAAAACCTGCGGTCCCCTGATGGATTAATTTTGACCCACACCCAAATTGCAGCCGGGCGGAGTGACGCGAGGTGATGTCCGATTTGGCTGTGGCTATCCTTCTCCTTGCGAGCAACAGCGATCGGTGTGAGAAGGCGGATAGCGGGCTGGGCGTCGTGCGTGACATGCCCTGCATCGTGGCAAGTGCCAGGAATCCAAGGCAACACTTGCAACTCGCTGACCATTGTTTTTGCTTTTTGAGCATTGGGCTCTGCAAGCTCCGTGTGACATGGGTATGGCGGGACAAGGCACTTTGTTGCGCTTGGGCCGTTGGAGGGCCACGGGCGGACGTAAAAGTGATGTTTATGTGTTAGGGCTGCATATGGGTACCCGGTTTGGCTCAGAATTAAAGAGCTGGGTTTACGCGGGTTTTAGTCTTTGGTTCCATTTACCAAGGTGCCATTTTGGTACCATTTTTTTTGCGCCGCAGCCATATGATGTTCCTTGCATGATTTGAGCAGCTTTTTGTTGGAGGCACCCGGCTTGCCATGGCAAATCGCACTTTTTTGGGATTGCGAACGCATTGTATTGGGGTTGCCCCGTTCGAGGCTCGCGAAGCCATCCGGAAAGAGCGAAACATACAGCAACTACCACCGTCACTGGGCAATAAGTGGGAATTAGGGATTTCCGCGAAAGCTCCGCAAGTGTGCCACCGCCCCGCATGGGTATCCTCACATAGGCGCACCACATGGCCCCCCCCCCACCCCCCGGATCTACATTGTCTCGGGTACTCCACAGCCCTCCTATAGCTCTTGCGGCCAGGCGCGTCTGCTCTTCACCGTCTTCGCCGCGCGCTCAATGTGAAGAGTTTCCTCTTAAGTGGCGCGATTGGGTGAGGCCGGCGTCGGCAGCGCAAATAACCGCCACGCACATCGCAGGTTGACAGAACTGGGAGGTCAGTGTTTCTGTCATGCGCAAAGTACCTATATCAATCGGGTATTAACAGTGGCCAGCCGGGCCGGCAACCCTTACGGACGTAGCGTAAAATCCCCGCTGACCCATTTAATCGGTTTGGTACTTCAATAGGTTCCAAAATGGGTGCTGAATTCACCTACCCCAAAATGGTACCATTGGTTTTGACCCACGGCCAATTGGCCTTTTTGGTATCCGCTTCAAACTGCACAAGGCGGCAGAGTCCTGTGCTGAGGACACAGACGCAGACGGCTGCCTCTCATCCGAGCAGCTCCTGAAGATGTGCCTCAGCAGCCTGTCACCCGGAGAGTTCTTCTAAGAACCCCTGCCAGGAAGCTTCTAAGAACCCTTTCTGGAAAAAGGTGGGTCCTTGGTTCTTTCCCATCATTCTTTGAAAAGGCCGCGTTGCGAACCATATCGTAGGTTCTGGGGAACAAACGGGGCAAATCTCAGGACCTCCGGTAGACACACTGCATTGTTCCCAATCCACATGTTTCCTGTTGATACAACACATATCCGAAAGGAAACCACAAGGGAAACCACCCTTTGACCAGTACTCGCCCAAACCACCCTTTGACCACTGGCCCAAACGTGGGTCCGATCCTAATAGTGTTTTTCTAGGGTCAAGTGCCACTAACCTTTGGTTTCCAAGGCTCAAGCGGCGACAGGGCCCCAAAAAAGGAGCTGGGGTAAGCTCAAAGAGGCATCCACAAAGGTTCGCGGCTGGCACGTTGAAGTACTGGCGAATGCACCATGTGCGAATGACGATGTTGATAAAGCAACACTTGAACTTCTGAAGAAAAATGGTTTGGCAGCAGAAGCACGAACACATGTTTTGAATGCGCCCAACATGCGGGCTCTGAAGCCCTTTAGCTTTAACAAGGGTCAAACATGAGAGAGCCGCCATCACCAACCTGCTCGACTGCATTGTTTAGCAGCCTTAGGGAGTATTCGACCTCTAAGGTTTCATGTTGGGTTCTTTGTTTCCTTTTCGGGTTTCTTGAGACCCAGCAAGTCAGGCAATCCTTAGTGGTTGGATCCGTCTTTTGGATTTGGATTTGAATCCCTTGTGAGGAACAGGGACATCACCCACCATCAAACTACCACTTCGGCTCCAAACCACCACCTGCCAGGGCTGTCTTTTTTTTAGGCGCCCTTTCTTTTTGGGGGGCGATTTATTCCGGGGAGACCAGCAAAGAGGAATCCCTTCTCTTTGCTTAAGATGTTTTTGTTTCCCCTTGGTTTTAAAGGGAATCTATCACTACTGGACATATTTCTTTTTTTTCCTGGGGGCTTAAGCCTAGAGTCTCCATGACCCGTTAAAAATGCTTGGTCATTCCCCGGGTTTTGGGGTCATGGACCTATTTTGTTTTCGGGTCAGAAGGAGACTCCAAGCGCCTCGGTAAACCGAAGCCGAAGTCGACGCAGGTACTGCAGCCTGGTGATCCATGCGGCCATCGCCCGTGGAGACCAGCCGTCCTATGACGCGGCGCCGGCCCCAGGCGCGAAGCCTTGGCCAAGGACTGGGTCAAAGCTCCACTGGGTTTGTCTCAAAGGGGCTCCAAACGGATGGTTCACAAGGGGAACCAAGTTCCGAAAACTGAAATTTTGGAATCTTGGCTTGCGACCTTCGCGGTCGCCTAGTTTCATGATATTTGCAGCCTGAAGCCTGCTCCTTTTCTTCGATTCATGCACTTGCCTCACTGCAACTACTTGCGAATAGTTGGTGCTGCTGTCTTTCCAATTTTGGACCATGAGTTGGCCTTTTAAGCCGAAGTTTGCCAATTTCAAGGTCCCAAAAGGCTGACCTGAGGCTCCCAGGTTCTCAAAGGGCAAGTGAGTCAACGAGGCAAGGTCCCACTGAGTTCCCTAGAAATGAATAGGTGCAAGAGCTCAATGCTCCCATTCGGTTTGGTCATCCCCTCTACTTATCCACAAAAAGGGAGCTGTGCCATGTACATGGTTTTGGGTCGAGCTTTTCATAGGCTTGATTTCCGCTCCAGTGTGCATTGTGCTTGGAGTCCGGGGATGCAGAAAGGGTCCCCATAAACTGTTCAAAAGGGCCGCCGTTCAGTCTGCAAAGCGAGTAACAAAGGGGTGGGTGCCAAACTTGCCACCATCTGCAGCTAGGGTGCACCACCAACCTGTACACTCGCCAAAAAAGACCTGCAAGCTAACCAGCACGATCCGCAGGCAACTAGTTGGCGTGTTTGAGACACCTTGTGTTTAAGGGAACCTTTGGTGAATGGGATTTGGACGAGGGAGATCCAAGGTGATGTCAAAGGAAACTCTCCATTGCTTGCACCAGCGCAGCTTCCAAGCACAGCTTAGCACATAGAGACCAAGAACCGGGTTTCAGGGACCAGCCAGAAGTTTTTGTTCATCTTCACCAAGTTTCATTGCCACTCTTCCAGAACAAGCTTGCGAAGAAAGCAGACATAAAAAAATCATCCCATGACTTCAGGAGAATCCCACGTTTTTCCAGCACCTCGGCCCTTTTTTGCGTCTTCCAGTCGTCGCCATGGCCTCTCCAGCGGCGTTCGCGGCATTTTCTGCCTCGCCGCCCGTGGCTCCAAAAGCGGCGGCGCCGGCTCCGGCGGCTCCGTCCACGTTTGAAGCTTCAGGCCGGGAGCCGCACCACGCCGAGAGCCCCGCAGATCCAGTCTGCTGCTTCCCTTTTTCTTGTATTTGGAGCAGGGTAGCTGGTCTGTTTTCTATTTCTTTTTTTTCAGTTTTTCAGTTTTTCTCGTTTTTCTTCTGCTTGTCTTTTCTGTTTTCTGTTTTTCAAGAATTTCAACTGCCCCTTGGGGTGCCCCTGTTTTCCGCCCACTGGGGGTCAGGGAACAGACGAAGGTTTGCAAAACAGCCAATGGTTGCCGCCGGGTCGATGTTTTACATGAACTTGGGCAACCCCCTTACCAGGTGTTGATTGTGACTGTCGGGACTTTTGGGAATCGTAAATTCCCTGCTCATCTCACAAACCCATTTTTGGACGAGCCATCGAACCTGAAACACCGGGCTTTGTCCAAACTGAGGCTTACGAAGAACTCCGACATGTTCGATTTCGCGTAAAAGGACGCCTCCAGGGGTTGATTTTTGCAAAGTGCAGGTCCAAACAAGGTTGACAACTCATTCCTACATCATCCGGGTTGCAAAATTTGCGCCGTTTCGTGAAAGGACAGAAGTTTCCGCCTCTTCCCTGCAGAAACGCTTTTTCATTTGAAAAGTGTCGTTGGCAAAGGGGGACCCTCAGGGACAACAAAGCCTCCTCGCCGGCCACCCGCCTGCTCCTTTTCGCACTCCAGCGAACTGTGGAACTTCTGGCTATGTGACAGCCAGCCCGGGCGCCAAGTCTTCCGAAGAGATGGGTTTTGGCAAAAAATGTTTGGAAATTATCACAATGAGGGCCCAATGTTTCCAACTATTATTTTTACTGAAGGCTTACCCCTGTCGAAGACCCTTCAAAAATCTGCGGTGCACGGCCTTGCACTTTGTAAGGTACAGCTGTAAAGCTTGCTGTCCGGTGTTCCTTGTAGAGCACCGCCTACTCAACCTAGAAACCTTCCCC